TGGTCAAAATCAAATCCTTCCTACACCCCCTCATGTCTCTCTTATCTCTACGACTAACTGTACTCACACTCCCGTTTCTCACTGCACCGCTAATGCAGACGAAGCGAGATCACGAAACGTCGTTCCTGGTCTCTTGAAACCCCGTTCTAGACTACATATTGGAGCTTTTAATGTACGGACATTGTGTCAAATAGGGCAACAGGCATCATTAGCTAGGACTTTAGAAACTCGTGCCATCGATGTATGCTGCGTCTCGGAAACGCGCATACAGGATCCTAGTAAAGTCATTAACCTGATTCCACCTTGTCAAAACGAAGAAGCAGCTCGATTTACTCTTCGTGTATCCGGTAGCCCTGATGCTGCTTCCAGGGGTCTTGCTGGCGTAGGCATAGCGTTGAGTCCTAGGGCAGAACAATCTCTCATTGACTGGATCCCAGTAGATAGTCGTTTGTGCGCTGTCTGACTAAACGGGACAGTAAGCACTCGTAAGGATAGGGACACTCGCCGTTGCCTCTTCGTCATATCTGCCTATGCCCCCACTGACTGCAGTACAGACGAGGTTAAAGATGAGTTTTACAGAAAGCTTTCGGACCTCCTCCAAAAAGCTAAGCGCTCTGACATAGTAATAATGGCTGGTGACTTTAATGCTCAAGTAGGTAGACTAGGTGAAAAGGAAAGACATCTAGGTGGATGTTATGGTGTAGCGACTGAGAGAACAGACAATGGCGACCGTCTGTTGCAACTATGCTCAGATAACCGCCTATTCTTAGCGAACACCAACTTTAGGCATAAGGAAAAGCATCTGTTGACCTGGCGACCTCCAAAGTCGTCTCAACGTTGGACTCAACTAGATCACATCGCCATCAGCCACCGATGGAGGGGTTCGATAGAGGACTGTCGCTCGTTCTGGAGCACATGTTTAGATTCAGATCATGCTCTAGTGCGAGCTCGTATCTGTTTAAGGCTTACTGGACGTAGGAAAGACACCGTAAGAAAGCCTCTCAGGGTTTTACTTAATGATAATCAAACCAAGAAAATATTTCAGGAGCAACTAGAAAGAGAGTTAAGCAACCATGCAAGCGATTCCCATCCAGAAGCAGGTTGGTATGATATCAAAAAGGCTGTGGAAACAGCAGTGATATCTGCTAGTAAGGTAAACCATGAGGCTAGGATGAAGCCGTGGATTTCAGTCGCATCCACCGAACTGATGGATGCTCGAAAACGCATCCCACCTGACTCTGAGCATGATGAAGAGCGTAGTCAGCTTAGGCGCAGACTTATAAAAAGTCTACGTAACGACCGCGAACAGTGGTGGGTGGCGAAAGCAAAAGCGATGGAAAAGGCAGCGGCGATCGGCAACACTAGACAACTTTTCCGCCTTATTAAAGAAACTGGTATTAAGAACCCGAATGTGAGTGAGACTATCTCCGAAAAGGATGGTCTTATTATCCATTCTCAATCGAGGAGACTGGACCGATGGGCAGAACACTTTAGTGATCAGTTCAACTGGCCTTCAGCCACTCTTCGGTTACCCACGATCTCCAGTCATCCTGAATGGCAAATCGACGTAAGTCCCCCTAGTCTTAATGACGTTGAGAAAGCGTTAGGAAATCTGAAGCGAGGACGAGCTGCAGGTCCTGATAGACTGACCCCTGAGATATTTAAGGATGGTGGTCCAGTTTTAGCAGCTAGATTGACTGAGATCTTAGGTAGAATCTGGGAACTGGACGTAATCCCATCTGACTGGTCTCAATCACTGATTGTCCCAATCTATAAGAAAGGACAAAAGTCTTCTTGTGACAATCACAGGGGAATAAGTCTAACTAATATAGTTTCTAAAATATTGGCCTCAATAATACTTCGACGCTTAACGAAACCTCGTGAAGAGCAGACTAGAGAAAACCAGGCTGGTCTTCGACCTGGACGTGGATGTATAGACCAGATATTCACTCTACGTTAGGTCCTGGAATAGAGACGTTCAGCCACTCCAGAACGGTAGTATTTCTCGATCTTGAGGCGGCGTTTGACTCCGTAGATCGTGAGGTTCTATGGCAGTGTCTGTCATTAGAAGGTTTACCAAAGAAGTGCATTGACTTAAACTAGTGTTAGTGAGTGAAGTAGTTGGGCTTGTCGACCGCTTCACTTGTCTTCCGAGTCTCATAAGTGCTGATGGCCTGGTGACTGATGAAATATCAGCATGAGGACGAGTGTACTGCGCAGTGGTTCGCTCCGTCTTACTTTATGGCTGTGAAACATGGCCAGTGAGAGTAGAAGATATTCGTAGGTTACTGGTTTTCGATCATAGGTGTCTTCGAAGCATTGCTCGTATATCGTGGGACACCCGAGTGAGCAACGCTGTTATTAGGAATCGGGTGCTAGGTAAGAATGGCAGATCAATCGATGAAGTAATGAAACTTCACCAGTTGAGGTGGTTGGGACATGTGTTGCGTATGCCCAACCACCGGCTGCCTCGTCGAGCCTTGTTTTGTAGTGTGGGAATAGGTTGGAAGAAAGTTAGGGGCGGCCAAACCAAAACATGGCAGAAATCCATGAAGTCATTGACTAGTGGACTGAGCCATGTCGGTAATTGTCGACTACCTGGTTGGGGTCCGCGAGATGATAATAATCGATGGTTAGAGACCTTGAATGACATGGCTCAAAATCGTTCGCAATGGCGCCGGTGCATTTATTCTCTGTGTTCTCTCAAATGCTAATCTTCTGGATTCTTCAACCCCTCTAGTTTCGACTCTCTAAACTTTTCTCACTGAATCATACTTCCTGAATAGTATCTTCTAATCCTAACCTCTCCGATTATTTCTAATTCCCTTACTACCTCTTCTGCTATTGGATTTGAATTGACGATTACTTCTCTGTGCTGATGTGGTATGGCAACATGAACTGATGTACTTATGTACAAAGTTCTACGTTGCATCTGACTGACTGACTGACTTCCCTCCCTATCACTAGATCAGGTGCCGATGAAGCCAATCGTGAAGCAACATATTGCGTTTCAAGGGGCGAAACCGCATCCCCAACATACATGCATTGTTGTCTACAAATGAATTTCCGATAAAAATTCAGTTCCTGAAAAATCAGACGAGAAAAGTGTTGTTTTGTAAGCATGTCTATGACAAAGATAAACGGGAATGAAGAGATTGGACAATCTGGATGAATACCATTCGAGGTAATCTACTTCCGACGACAGTTCGCCATAATCTCAGGGGTCAACCTATTAGGACCCGCTGCTCGCCCTCGCTTCAGATTTCCTATAGCTTTCTCAACTCCGTAAAGACTCGGAGGACTTATATCGATTTGCCACTCAGGATGACTGGAGATTGTGGGCAACCGAAGTGTGGCTGAAGACCAGTTGAACTGAGCCCTGAAGTGTTCTTTCCATCGATCCAATCTCCTGGGTTGAGAATGAATCATAGGCCCATCCTTTACTGACATAGTTCCGCTAACAGATGAATTTCTAACACCAGTTTCTTTGGTTAGGTGGAAGAGTTGTCTGCTATTACCTATCGCAGCTGCCTTTTCTACCGCTTTTGCTTTCGCCGCCCACCAGTGTTCGCGATCATTGCGTATGCTTTTTATCAGCCTGCGCTTAAGCTGACTCCGTTGTTTGTCATGTTCATAGCCAGATGGGATGAGCTCCGAGCGTCCATCAGTTCGGTGGATGCTACTGAGATCGACGGTTTATTCCTAACCTTATATCATTGCTGCTAGTAATGACATAGCTGCAGGAGTGTGTAAAAAAGTAAAGGGCATGCGTAGACTTAATGACATATATTGTAAGTGAATCCGAAGTACTGTTTGCGTGCTGAAAAATGATCAGGTAAGGGATACTGAGTTTACGCCTAGGTTCACCGGCGAAAACCAGAGGATCAGGCGTTAATTCTTATCGACTCTGGTGGCTCAAGATGAGTTAAGTAGGCCGACAGACAAAATTTACTGGATGAGAGTAAGCTGGGATAAAGGTATGAGGGCCATGTCTGCTGGAGTCAGCTCAGCAAGTCACTGATCACTGGTTTTAACTACGTTGGTAAGAGCAGATTACCTGTACAGTTACTGAAATTATTAAGGCTCCGATTTAGTTGTAAGTGTGAATCCATTCACGTCTTACTCTAGACCTTGAATTCCGGGGTTTTCAGCCTTTATTAACCACACTAATGCCCTGATTATCATTTTCAAAAAACCATTCAAATCCCTCCAGCCAATTATCTTGCCATTTCTATCTCAATGTGTAAACGTGGCACAATAACGGGCAGACATGTTCCGGTTTGTAAGTTGACCACCACTGATACATAACTAGTATAATCCCTTTATAAACATACCCCTAATACTAAGAAAATACTCTCCAAGGCTGTAAACCTAACAAAATTTAGGTGTTCCTAAACCTACAAGTGACCAGACAACCATGCCTAATTCCATGTTCTAGTTAATGTGTAATCCTTTTTTTAGAACTGACAGAACGCTTTAACGTACAATGTTTTATCGGTTGATTACTCCCAAGTGAAACAGCAGTATTTTTAGGTATTGTAAAACGACATGTAGATGATAACCCTATTTTAAAGGCCATGGAAATAATGGAAAATGAGAATCCATTTTATTGACGAGGCAGCTCAAGTATTGAAATATTCGCAAGTACCACTACTTCACGACAGTTGGATCAATAATTTTGAATAACAACTCGTATGCAATAAATAGATATAAATATGTAAGAATACAACTTTCACCTTCAATAACGCATGACTCATACCCAGGGATTGTGTTCGATGAAATTTCAAAATTGAACAATGTATGTAGATTATTAGCTATCCCTGGAGGCTTAAAGCGAATTAGGTGCTAACCAAGAAATTTTTTGAGAACGTACAAATGTCGAAAAACTTTTGCGACGGAATGTGAGATGTATGGTTTAACATGAGAAATTCGAAACGAGGAAAACATACTACCGTTTTAAGTGTCTTAGTGTACTGATCAACATATACTCAGTAACTTACTTGAATTTTGCGAATCACGACTGCCACTGCGTCTGAGTTTCCCACTTACTCGATGAGCAGACGACATCATTAAACAGCCCTCTATCAATGGCACTCCCGCTAAGTCAAAACGAAACTAACAAACAAATCATGTCACTTTGTTCATTGTGATAGATATAGACAGAAGTGAGTTGCATTGTTTATTCCGCTGATCGCATCTCAATAGCATAGTTTCAAATTGCTGATTTTATCTCAGGAAACTTAACAAGTAGACATTTTCAGTAGGTTTGTGTTCTACGTGATAGCTCGGTACTATTCCATACTTCTTTAAGTTGTTGATCCTTTTAGCGCATTTTGCCATTTTATTTGCAAACTGTGGCTTTTTCATACCAAACCTCCTGGTATTTAATGTTCATGATTTTTTCGCGACTGTTACGTAGCGAACGGAAGCAAGCACTATTTGCAAATAACAAGTTTGCATTGTACCAACCACAAAGTCAAAGCCCTTAGCAAAAACTATATATTGACCAGTCTTTACTACCTTCATCAAAGAGGGTCATAAATCATAGGATATCCTCGTATCAACCAGAATAATAAACCTGACTGACCGAAAAAACAAGTTGACATTGGTCGTTGTTGATTATAATCTTCCAAGCATATGTTAGGCTGTATACTATTAGTGCTGTGAAGTATTCGGCTTTATACAACCTCCAAAAAGAGTAGTATAGTTATTTAACGATTTCCTTTCTAATGAGAATAGAGTAGTCCGGACCTCTTACTTAGAACAATACATTTTAGGTCTGATGAAGTGAATAAATGTTGCAGTCACCGTGTATTTTGGATGTTTTATATTGCCTTTTCAACCTATAATGATGCAAACGTGCTATTTTATGCTGCTGATTAAATTTGGAGTTCACAATTAATGATCCTCTATTCTGTTGTAATTTTACTGTTTGGCTGGGTCGTTACTAACCTGTAGTATTGGTTCAAATCTATTCAACATCATGAGAGTTCAAAGATCATCTAAAATATTTCGATCTCATAGAAAGAGACATTTTAGTCCATTTTGTCACTTCCTTTGGAAAGGAAGCCTAAAATTTATCAAAGAATCATGAACATTTTTAAAAACATATTAGTTCCTATCGATAACCTCTACAGATTATAAACTGACTATTTCCATGTGAAAACATCTGAACATTGGGGACTGCATCTTTATGGATTGTGAGTTTGGTTGCGCATGTCATCTCAAAAGTGGAAATCCAGACATAAATATAAAGTTTTTAAAGGATTCAACACTCCACCTCGAAATCTCAGAAATCACGGTACATCTCTCACTGGTTAGCTGCAAAGACAAATTGGTGCAGCCATTAAAAGTTCCTGGACCTAGATTATTTGTTCACAAATGATCAGCTCCTGGTCCAGGACTTCACATCCATACACCAATAGGAAATATTGACCACGGCTCAATCTTTTTGAACATGGTCATAAATAAAACGCTCAAGCGTGGCGGAAACGAGCCCTACTTTTGCTACACTAGAGCAGATTACATGCGCATGAGATAGCGTCACCTACATGCCTCGTGGCCACTGGAATAGTTGAGACCAACAGTAAATGGTCACTGGTCAGCAGTGAGAAACGTCATCCAGAAAGCTGCCCTACACACTGTACCTCAGTAGCATCACACACTAGGGTAGATGATAATAATCATAACCTAATAGAACAACACATATAAGCGAACAATATTGTTTTCGATTAGATGGTCATCATGCTTTACTCCAATATACATGAATATTTGGGACGTTGATCACAATGATGTAGATTACGTCAACACACTTCAGTATCATTGATTATTTACATTCTGCCATATCATAAGGAGGCGTAATCAAACAACTACCCCACAGACTTGGGTTGATAGATGTTATTGCCTCACCATCATGAATGCTGTTCAGATACACCACACCCCGTCCCTTTGTAAAGTTAGTCTCTGCTGGTAGGTTTTTATTAACTTTTTTAGACTAAGCTCATTTTTGTAAACCTTGTCGGAATACACTGTCTCTACTAGCTCCACGTTACTAAGAAAACTAGACAACTTTGGTTTCTTTATGTTGGACTAAATATCAACGTGGAAAATCACACTGATATTAAGTTATCTGATAGTATCAATTGTAAAATATGGTTCTCTTATTGGGTAGTTTGGAGTTAAGAAGGTATTGTAGTCAGCGATGTGACCACTCGAAATTCTACCGATTGGAGAACCTCAGATATTCCAGTACGACAGCAGATTCTGTTTTCCAAATTTCCGATATATCAGAACACAAAACCCCCAGATGAAGACTGTTTACGGGATCAGAGTACAGTCTAGACCTTTACAGACATTGCATATTTATACAGTTTGGATGGCTGTAAATACTGACCATAAAGAAACGAGATGCGATATGACACATGGGAATATGTAAAGCATGGGATATATGAGTAACATGTGAAACATGTGATAAGTGTGAAAACATACGATTTTAAGTTCAAAGATAGAACAAGACTTAACGGAATATTTTTTGGGATATTTTTCTTAATATCGCAACACCTCCCTTTATAAATATTAACAACGACAAAACCGGGGGTTTAATAGTAATTTCTTTGGTTGTCTTTGTTTGCATTTCGGCCACCTTCGAGGTAAAAACCCTGAACCTGAAGCATGATCTACTTGGGCAGGTGACTCAGCAGTCTCTGCTCGAGGTATTGGTGGGAGTTTAAATGTATCCAACATCAGGTCGAGTGGGAGGCGTTTCATAACCTCACCTTTTTCTTTAGCTTCCATTGGCCTTAGTTGATTGCAGTGCCTAGTTCAGATATCCTGGTTCATCCTGACATCATACGTGACTTTCTCATGTTTCTCTGTGAATTCACCCTCTATTCACCTATCTCATCCCTGTACGTTGTCCCGCGCATATATTTTCGTACAATTTTCGTGTGGAATTCAATTAGTCTGCATCCAACGGCTTTTCTGGGCTAATCGCTTGGGGCTCATTGGAATATGAACTGTTCATAGCTTTCGTCTCATAAGAATCTCAGTAGGGGATTTGAAGTTTGATAATAAGTTGTAGTGGTACGCTTCTACGAAGAAAATACGATTTGTGAAAAATAAATATTATTGTACTCGTTTTGTTTAACTGCACCAAAAACGATTCTACGACTTCTTGCGCGCAACGTTCTCTTCGCGTTGCTGCCATCTTTATCTATTTGCTGTTCCCATGTAATGCCAACGTTCTCCTTCAATAAATTTCTCAACCGTGGATTTATTTTCATTTCGATGATGGCGGGATAGTATGGAACATTTAGTGGTGAGCATAGTCAATCGGGTATCCTGAATATCTCTCTACAATTGGTGAGACCGACGTTTCTTCAAAAGAATTCAATTACGGTGAGTCTATTATTCATCTATCACCATATTTATAATGTTGCAATGCTATTAATAATGTCTTTAATATATATTATGCTTGCAACAACCTTTCGAAATGGTAGATAGCTATAATAATAGACTCCGAGGTGCAGGTCATTGCATTTTCACCTGTCTCCTCTCCGTCACTTGAGGTTGTTAGTTTATTTTACTTGTCCACAAGTGACCAAGTTTCTGTCGTATCGTTTGGTAGCAGTAAGTCATATGCAATGATGCTTCGACCACGCAATGCGAACAGCTCTGTCATTCCAACCTACGGTACACGACAGCGAACTATCAACCTGAATAACCGACGACAGTATCTATGGACGTTCATCCCTTTTGATGTTCCCATAGCCATACTCGGTATCGGCCCCTTACAGCACTATGAATTGCAAGTCGATTCACGTAGGCTGCGTTAATCGATACTTCGTCGAATATCAAATCCATGGTTTTTCACGCGCAAACAGATATGTACCGAATCACCAAAATATATATTTTGCATTACGATTTATTTCATGTTATATTCGATAAATTCCCCAAAGTAACGAAACCGAGGCAATTCAACTGGTGATTAATTATTTGGAAAGCCACATCGTCCCTTGCAGACCCCAGCCACGACAAAACCTGGCCGACTGGCACTGGACAACTTAGTTTACGCAAAGCCTGAGTTTGACAGTTTACTTGCAATATGTATTACTTCGTCTTTCTCACAGTCCTTAAGATTCCTCTCTCCACTCGGTTCGCAGAAAGATGGCATTTGTTGGAGACGACATGGTGATTACGGAGCAGCAGATATCCAATGTTCCGCCACCGGAATTGTATAGGGCACGACATTGCATCTGCCTGGGGAATTTTTTCACACCACGGAGCAGCGATTTTAGGTATATCAGATAACATCCAACGACTATCTGCGCAGATCCGAATACTGCCTCCGGTGTGAACTCGAATATAACATCGACAGGTCGCTTTCCCTTGAGAGTAACTTACTGTAGAATCCTTTTTGAATGTTTTGTGTTTTGGAAAATCCCTCCATGTTTACATATGTTTGTTATGACATGACGGACCTTTTCTGTTGACATTTTTGGTATTTTATTTGATTCCAATTTGAGATTTTATTATTGTATATTGTTATTCTTTCTATATTTTGTACTTATATTGAAGTTTTTGTGTTTGCTTCTGAACTGTACATATGTTGTTTAAATTTGATATAATATGGCTACCGCCACATTTTTGGATTCATCATCGTGCAGCATAGGAGTTCACCTAGACCTCGGCACATTGATACTCGTTCGGAGTAATTCTGAATTGGAAGACGTAATATTAGTTAGGTATTATTTGTATTTCCATTTGTTATTTGTAATTAGACCATTTTCCCCTAGAATTATTGTGTTTTAATTTCGAAATGGGGAAGTGCGTCCAACCTACGTCTATTGGAATCGAATTGAGCTGTCACGATCGAGAATTCAACTACATTTACCTGTCCGCAAGTTTTCTTACTATTAGATTCGGTACTGAACAACCTTAGGAAGGATCTTTTCACGTGATCTCTCGTCACGAAAAGACCTTCAAGGTTGATGGCCACAGTCAGCATTGATCGTCTCATACCAGCACACGTCAATGACAGTGCCGTACCTGGTATATCGAGATTTAATGCTGGACTCGTTCAACTCACTAGCGCTCTTGTCAATGCACTCAGTCGATTTTCTGGTTTCGAATATATCTGGTATACGAATGGTTTCGCACGGGTCGTTTCTAGTTCCTTCGCTCAATCTGCTTCCGTCCTACGTCTGCAGCCTAATCTGGTCCGAACCCCTACGAACGCAATCCTCAGACTCTGGATACGAGCCACGCTTGTGTGGCATGCCAATCCGATAGACAAACTCGGCACGTCAACTCGAGCAGCAAACCTGGCACGTTACTACTGGCACAGTTCAACGTAGAAGACTATCGGTGACATCACGAGCTTCATTGATCGCTTCCTGTTCCTTGTGATCGACAGTAGATGAGTAGAGTCCATAGGCTTTTCAGTTTTTCTGTCTACTAGCGATACAAACTGAAAGTGTTGTGAAAGATAAGAAGATAATGGTACAAGTTTCAATATTAGGAAACTCTGAAAGTTACGATTAGCAGCTTAGATTCGTGACTTACTGCAGTTATTAAGAGTAAGGGAATGCGTTTAAGATTTTGTGATACCTGTATGAATATTAATGGCGATGCAATATATTCATAATCTGTTATTAGTTTCAAGGGTTAGTTCAAATATTTGTTGGACCATAGAAAAGTGCCTTGAGATTTGATGTGATTTCTCGAAATAATAGAAACATTTCTGTATGGTCTAAAAATAGGGTTACTAGTTTCTTGGACCTGATGGTTGTGTTACAGACAAAGATAGAAATTGGTAGGCCAATCCAAAAGAAACCGTACCGTATTAAAAGGAAATTACAACCCACTGAGTTTTTGTATTTTGCCGTAAGTAGTGTATATGCCTTGTTTCTGAGTCTGTAAACAGGATTGTAGTTCATAATTGGGCTGGACAGTCCTACCGAGATACTGTATATTATTTTATAGAGGAATACTGTGTTTTTTCTCAACCGACGGCGACATAGAGGTTCTTGGTAGAGATGCTTGCATCTTTCTGTTTAGTCGAGAATACGGTTTAATTTCACCAATCGCCATGTGAAGCTTCTTCGGATATTTTCTTCTTGTATCTTGTCTAAGATATTCATATTCAAAAATGTAAGCGAGCATTATTCAAGAGAGGGCGTTATACACATTTTAAAGAGTGCAAAATTAGTCTCATTTGTCAATAAGAACTTTCAATATGCCATGCACGGAACGCTTGCTGAAAGCGAAAACGAAAGCATGACACAATCGGAAGGTCAGTCTGAAGGATTTCTACCGTAGTTATTATTACCGGGTATTGGGAATCAAATGCCATAAATGTCCACAATCAAGTATAATTTTACCTGCAGCAGATGAACAGAGAACTAACATACTGCAATCAAATAGAGTTTTATATGTTAGGTATGCGTGATTAAGATCTAGCTTAGGTATCATCTTATTCAGTGTCTCCAGACAAAACCAAGGTAGGGAAAACCACATAAAGATCGTTAATCTTAAAAACCGATGGCCGTAAGGAATAAGTTATAGTACTACTAGATAGTGCAAATCTTTTAATATGTCTATACAGTGAATGTGTTTATACTATGATATCGGCCATGAGAATATACTAAGAAGAGTAAGATACTGAACATCAAGTGTAAATGGTGGAGATCTTGCCAACCAAGAGATGGCCGAGACCATTGAGGCCAACTTCAGCGATCATCCAAACAAACAACCTACTCAAACCTAATACCAGCTGACAGCCTAAGCAATATCCGTCGCCCTTCTGACTTCGAATAAAGAAAATTAAAATCCTTACACCCAAGAAATTCACCACGATATAACAGTATTCACCATATAGGCTTGGAACAGTGCTCAAAAGCCTTCGGCTCGCCGGTATGTTAACTGTTCATATGTTCACTTGAGTCATATCAAATCTCAGTCGAAGTTAAACAAACTACAGTCTCCTAGTTCTAAAAAGGGATATCGGAAGGATACAGCTTGCTACAGACCAGTTGCATTTCTACCAATACTGTAGAAGATAATAAGAGGACTGGTGGATGGGCAAATAAAGGAGTATATACATAAGGAAAAAATCCCTCATGTTACTCAAAATGGGTTTCGGAAAGGCATGTCTTCTGCATTCAGTCTTTTCATAGTATAGGACAGCTGGACAACCTGCTAGGACCGAAAAATACCAGTGCATATAATCTTTCTTGACATCGCAAAAACTTTAGAGACAGCACTTCGTATTGTCCTAATTGTGAACGCCGCGAAAATGAGCTTCACGAACCCACTCCTATCGTGGCTCAGAAACTACCTTGACAATCAAAAGTTTCGCAACAGCGTAAACAGAGTGTACGCGAGCTAGCGAGTATCTACATCGAGAGTTTCACAGGGTACCATCTTAGGTCCGATTCTCTCCTTAATATTCATTAACGACCTATTAGGCATAGTAATCTCACTGGCATTGATCTACACAGACGATGCGAAGACCTGGAGGTCCATTAGAAGTAAAGCGGATTCTACTGAGATTCAAAACGACCTTACATCCATTGAGGAACTGGTAGTGGAAAATGGTTTAAAAGCAAACCAACTGAAGTGTCACTCCATGTACATTCTGCCTCACATGAAGCAAACGATTTATATCAATAAAAGTTCGTTTACTAATGTCTCCGCACGGCTCGACGTCGGTTTAATTAACCACAAAAGCCTCCACACGAGCCCGAACTATATAGGGGACGCAGCCCAGACGAATGCGAAGACGACCTGGTACTATCACCCCAGAATTATTCTTAACGTTACTTAATACGTACGCACTCCAACACCTGGAGGTTTACAACGCCGTCGCACCCTCTCTGCTTAAGAGAATCTCTTGGATCGAGTGCAGAGACAAGCAACCATATGGACGATAGGGTTGGAGAAAAAACCTTACGAAGATAGACTCCAGCACTTGAGATTATTACCACTGAGTTACAGGTGGGTCACGATTATGGTGTACGACATATTAAGCACGCCAAGCTAACCCGATGAGAGCATCTTACTGATACATCACCACCACTCTCCCCGAGGTAATCCTCGAAATATTGCGCGTCAAAGAGCAAATACTCATATGCGTGTACACTTTTTCTCATCAAGAGTCGTTTTGACTTGGAGTGCTCTCCCAGCAGAGATGACCTCAACCCCCTCAGAGGACAGCTTCAAGAAGAGACTTGACAAACACCTACTCACATACATATCATCATCTCCCTCGTGAACCAGCTGTACCTGATGCATGTCTTGAGACTTGCTAGTCGTTATTATAGTTATCTCTCACTTATTATCTATTTCCTCTCCCTTGCTTACTCTTCTATCCTCCTACAAAACCTTCACTACCAGTTAGTAAAATAAATTATCTATTGATTTACCTAGTTCTGAAATCTTATCAATATTAGCATTAGAATTTTCTCCTTATTATTCTCCACATTACAGCTAACTGATATTAGATCTGGTTATGTAATAGCTGCTGGTATCCAGAAACTTTACTGCCCTGAAACAAACGTTTTCATTAAAATCATATGACATGCAAACTCACAAATATCTGCCAAGTGACTAGAACTAGACAGTCGAGTGGCTAGACCCCCAATCACTGGATACTACCAGAAATCTGGAAACGTACGGAAAGAACAAGAACCGAGTGCAAAGAAATCAATAGGTTTACAGTAGCTAGTGAAAAAGATATTGGATATAATGGTTGCTTTTAATGCATTACTTTTCAGCTTCTGTTTCTATTATAACTGCTCTATATTTTAAGTAGTTCTGAACTGATGGAATTATTGTGTGGTCTTCCCAAGAGTATTAAGCGTGAAGAAATAAACTTTGTTTCAACGGAAGATATAAAAAATGTGATTGCGAACGGCATTCTGAAAGAAGAAAAACCTGATTATCATACAATAGACAAAAATTTGGAAACTTTGCTGAAAAAATGGTTAGATGATGGTCATGAACAATGTGCTTTTTATCTCGGTCAGATTTACTTTGAAAAGGTACACATAATAATCCAATTGGATGAAAAACTAGGCGAAATACAACGAAGCGTATGATTATTTTCGAATGAGCTATGAAAAGTTTAATGATCAGCGATCGAAGTTCCAACTCGGTATTCTGCTTTATGATAATCTTGTCAGCAAAGATGTGACAAAAGTTTCAAATCCTCAAGTAACTTTCTAATTTATAGTTACTCCATTAGGCTAAAGCTTGTGAACTTTTCAAGGAAATCATGGCATTGAACAACCAAACATTTTCAACTAATAGTCAAAGAAACCTAGTTTATAGTGCTGCATATAATCTAGGAAGAGCATATTATCAAGGATACGGAGTGCATTCATCTACGGAAGATGCTTTACGGTATGTCTAACGTGTTACGCTGTTTAATGCAGACATGCTGATTCCACATAACTGTACATTCATTTTTGAATGGGATATCAGACTTGAAATTAGACTGTCAAATGCACTAATGCAATCCTACTGGCTAACATCTGCTCAGTTGTATGATTGTATCTAAACTGTTACCAAAGAAACTTCCCACTATTCCTTTGTTTGGTTTCATGTTCATTTAGTCATACCTAATAATTATACTAGTGTACTAGTACTTAAGATGCGTTGATAAACAGGCACTCTGGACATTTTAGATTCATTTCAATCTGATTTAGACTTAAAACGTCAAATGCAGTCCTGGATTTATTTTACGGAGTTAAAACCTGGATATTTTATTGATAGTTTTATTTTTATTTTAACGCATAGCTGAGGATTTTAAGTGCTGGTGTCGATGTAACTCCAATTAGATTATAAAGAGGTTTAGATCTTGTATTGTTTTACCGCTAGTATTATTTCGGTGCAGTTTTGTTTACAAAAACCTATCGTGCTTTGAGTATTTATTCTTACTATACACGTTAGTTAGTTCAAGTGCCTAAATATATATTCAAGTACATTTGCATTCTTGTTCTTACTTACTTTATTTATATCCTTGGTAATCGAGTATACAGATCTCGAATATAGCAGTGGTGTTATCAATATCAGGTAAATAAGTGTCATAGCATATGAATTAGTTATTTTTATCCGATTTAATGAACAAACTGATAGTATGAGCAAAATATCTAAGCACCTTTTGATGCATCTTGAAGTTTGTTTCGAATGTCTGAACTCCAAGACTCAGTTAGTATCGTTGAATTGTGTGTCATATCTTTCAAACAGACGACCTGTTGGAAAAAAATTTACGTATTCAGAAAATTAGTTGACGTATATGACGTCAATAGTGAATATAAAAGACTTACATTTAGGTAGATTAGTATGAATCAAATTATTACGTGAGGAAAACCACAGAGAATTTTAGATGTTTTATTTTATAGTCCTATTCGTTCTAATATCGAGTTATTCACATTTTGGATGTATTCTAGGATAATTTGTCCTCCGAATCGGGAGGATACTTCTAATTTGTCGTTTCCAAAACTTAGTTAAAAGACTAAAATGTTCGACATACATTTATTCCAGGGATTGTTATTGTTTATTGTCGCCTGTTAACCCCGATGCAGCATGGGTCGCCGACCGGTATCCTCCAACCTATTCTGTCCTGGGCTTCCCTTTTCATCTCCGTCCAATTTTTGTCCATTCTTCTCATGTCTGTCACTATTTCTTGGCGCAATGTGTTCCTTCGCCTTCCTCTTTCCCTTCGACCTTGGTGCCTCCAAATGAGGGCTCGCCTTGTGACGCAGTTGGGTGCTCTCCACAATGTGTGTTCTATCTACTTTCAGAGCTTCTGAGTGATTTCCTCCTCCGCTGGAACCTGGTTTGTCTTCGCCTACAGTAGGTTGATGCTCTTTCTATGTTTTGAAGGAGACTTTGATGATCCTTAATGCTTTAGATTTCAATCCTATCAATGCTTTTCCGGCTTATTTGAACAGCATCTGTGAAACTCCTTCTTTATGTAAGGCGATTTCTTCTTTATGATTGGAGTATAACAACAACTCTCCTGATGTTAGTCTTTTTTCTAACCCGTTTCACTATTTTTAAGTTCCACTAAATTGTATACTGTCATATCTGCTGCAACTTGGATGACAGTCCTGACATACCACATTCTAAGAACAATGCGCGTACCTTAACTAGCGATTGCTCTGGTTTTCAGATCGGACATCGACCTTGTGACTTCCGAAGAAACTCAGCTTTCACCATTAGGCGTCATAACTCTTCTAGATGAAGACATTCTGACCCCTACGGTAGAGTTTAAATGGTTTGAATTATTTTTTCTGGTTAGCGATTTTTATCGAGTTAGTTTTCGACGAGATATGATCTTTTAGTGTGTAGATTTATTGCGCGTTCTTAGATTTGGTGATTAGCTCGTCCAAACAATCATTACTAAATAGCGTCTGACGATTTATAAATCAGAAGGTGAACTCGTAGTGTTGAATACGTTTATTTGGGATATACCACAAAGCGAAGCGGAGAAGCAGCGAAAAAAAACGAAATAAGAGACGCGAATGGGAGAAGACTGTTGAGCTAACTCCAAGAGGTAAAGCATGACTAGGAATTTATAGTCAGACAAAAATAAGACAGACATGTAAGCGAGTAGGCATGCACAGACATGAATTCAAGCGACGAATGAGTGACAAGGTAAAAAGACAAGTAGGACAAGCCATGTGAGCTAGACATTGAATGACCCACTACAATCTCTAAGCCCATGCGCAATCCTCCTTTTTTATCCGGGCTTGGGAATAGCAGTAGACCGAGAGGGGCTCCAGACGGAGTTTTATTTTCGAAATAACGGGCCACAATGACTTAAGCATTTTGGAGAATACATTTAATTCATTATCCAGCTGAAGAACCCTGATGGTTGTATGGTGTTACTCTCACTGTAATACGTCTGTATAAATCTTCGGTTAAATCATCCAGACTGATTTGACTTTATCTAGACCTAATATAACAATCAAATACCATTCTTTGGCGTTTATAAACATGCACTAAGTCATAACAACTAATATTATCTTTTTCGTTTGTTTACCTGGGAAAAACCAAGTTCACTTAAGCTACATTTGGTAGAGTAAAAAAGAGAGACCGCTAATCCTCATCTTAAACTTTTTCTTCAAGCTAATCCTCAAGACAGTTTTAAACCATCGATCTCAAAACACTTAAAGTTTGTCATTTCTGTTGACGAATCTTACTCAAAAGCTCACTGATGTTTATTAACGCTAGTATTAACTGGTATGTTTATATATATATATATATATATATATATATATATATATATTAACCTCATATTTATTTGAAATGTGCATGTAGATCAGCTGAGGACACAAATGTAGCTGGAACAGTCATCACGGACAGTAGTCGTCAGAAAAATTGAGAAACCCAGAAATGATATGTACTACTATATGATTAATAACACTCATAAAAAGGACTTTTGTGCAAAATGCTGTTTCGGAACTTGTTCGTAACAAGATAATCGTTGTAAAGTTGATAATGTGCGGTGGGATTTACATACTTAACTATTACTGAAGCCTGTTATGTCTGTTAATGTATCGGCTACCCACCACCAAAATCAACTTCATAAGGAATTTTTCTTTCCAGTTATTTTCAACTGCTCCTCATGGTCTTGATGCCTACCTTTGATTCCCATTGTCATGTACTCGTTGGTCTGTTTCTTTGCCTTGAGTATTCCCAGCTAGAGCTGGCAACGTAATACAGTTTAGTGTTTTTGTAAAACCTCTTTTTCCAATTTTTAACCCAAATGGCAGCTGGTTTGTTCGTTGGCAGAATAAATTACTGCTCATAGTCTCTGGACAATGAACCTAGTGTATACCGTATAGATGCGTGTTTTTGAATTACTCGCACAGTGAGATAGTCTTGACACTACTGCTGCAAGTTCTGAATTTTGTATTATTCCAGTTATTTTGACTTCTAAAATTTGTTTAATCGTAGGGATGTTCTAGCACTGCTAAATCATGCTTTCATATCTTCATCTAATTCTTTCTGTTCATCAGTGATGCTGTCCAGGTATATAAAGGCTCATTTCTCTCTAGCGTCTCCATCAAATGTGATTTCCATGTTTTCTTAGTGTAGCAATAAATTGTGACTGGGTATCGAGCGTGGACAGACAGACACAACCTACTGACCACTAAATGTGAGATCTTCGATTCTGATTGATTTCCACTCCGGACTCACCATGTGACTGCTTGTAATCATGTGGAATAAAATACTGCATAGTACTTAATCTGGTTTTTATTTTTTCAAAAACTGTGTATCTGGTTTAACGTGATCTAGCCTCTTTGTGGTGTACCGTTCAAGTATCCCATTTATTGGAAATATAAACTCGGTCACCCATTTAATCACAATATATATATATATATATACAGAGGATAAAAAGGTATCCAATGCTTCCGTTATATCAAATTTATTTGGCACTCACTGTTGTACTTTACAATCTGGTGTTTTCACTCGTGAATGCCGAGGCCTACTACTCAAAAAGCTGCTTCTATGAAGGGTGTCTTTATAACTTGTTTTTCGTAAGAGATAGCAAGGCTAGGTCGTCGGCAAAGAGCAAATCATCCAACTATGTCCAAAATTTCTACTGTACTCCTTCGTTTGCCTGTAATATGGAGGTCTACCCACCAAGTCAAAGCTGACAAGACAGGAGGAAGACGAGAGTAAACAGCCTTATTTGGCACGAGCCCTTACTTAAAATGTATCTGTAAGCTCCCTTCCACGGACGACTTAAAAACCTAACCCCTCGTATTAGTTCCATATCATGGTGATGATCTCAAGTACTTCAAACTGTTTCCGATACATGCCACCAAAAGATTTCTTACAATCAAGAAAGTTGATTTGTAGCGATGAGTTCTGTTCAGTCGACTGATCATCAGTGATCGGTAAAGTTTCGGTCAAATGACCTTGTTAATCTGTTTTATTGTTGACGAGATATCATCTATATATAGGTCTGTTTGTTGGTGTTTGACTTAAACCATGTAGGTGTGCAAACCTCGTCACTAGATATCGTTAGGAAACTGCAATTCAAACATGGAGAATTCGGATGAAATGGTTTTACACTGATTGCTGTGGCATAAGTGAACTCATTCATTATCGACCGACGTACTGTGTTGCTTTATACTACTTTGTTGATGAATAAATGATCAGTTTGCATATATCATCTCGGAGCATCTGTCTCTTTAAGCAATACGTGCACTGGCTCAACTTGCTAGGACGAACACTGTTGTCGTTGTTTCTCTCTTGATACCTTAAAGCGCCAAGACTTTGTTTTAAGTAAATGAAAAGCTAGGGTCAAATCACGAAAAAGTATCAGCAAATGAAATCGTTGAAAGAACCTTAGTGGTTGTTACAAATGTATAACTATGACATGTCACGATTTTTATCTTAATTAAGTGAATAATAAGGTGCCATGGACTATGACTTCATCTCTTTTTAAGTAATTATTTATGAGAATTTGGATTTTAACCATGACATTTAGACTGAAACTTGAGTGATTAGTAATTATCACCTTTTCACTGCTCAGGGGAAATATTTACTGTACAGTAATTAGGATCAACATGAAACTAAGTCCCTTTTTTATCTGATACCAATTGTTTCACCGAGTAAGAAATGGTAATTCACCACCCACATTGATCAGCGTTTTTTATTACCACTCACATAACAAACTTTTCCTCAAGTTGGACATTTTTAGTGCTAACAAAAGACCCTAGAGCATTGTCTCTCTTAGTAGGATAAGGATTTTAACAATAGGTTCATTAATATCGTACCAAGTATATGACCTTGGTCAATCAGCTTCGGTGAAAAGTTGAAATAATTTAATAATTATTCGTTGCTAAAAATCCTCAGGACAAAGTCAAGTCAGGTTTAGTCATTCACAACGTAGAACTTCATACAAACGTACATAAGTTCAGATTGTCATACCACATCAGCACAGACGCAATTGTGAGTTCAAATCACATAGGATAAAGTAATTAGCCGATTATTTTTGATATGGTTAATTGAATTCAGTTTATTAAAAAAACCAGAATAATCATCTGAACTTGGAAAGAAATATCTTAGATACAGTTATCCTGTTTTTAATTAACCACTGTTAGAATCTGAAACTCAAAGGTTATAAGGATATAGAGATAAGACAATGATAAAACCTCTTATTTGTCCAGAAATTTCTCTTGATTTGGTGGAAAATGAAACAACGCTATCTTTATGTAGTGAATTAAGTTAACATCCAGAAAAGGCTTTCGATAAAATTATATGCTAACTCAAGGTAATTCCACAATTTCCGGTCAAAATCATACATGCATTGGGCGAAGTTGTCACTTTATAGCTCAGAGTTATCTCAATTTTTTGGAAAGAAAACTAGGTCAAATGCTTGTGTAATGATCTTTGTATGTGGAAGAAAAGAATCTCTTCAGTATAAAACAGATGGATTGCTAGATTTTGGTTGCACTTTTGGGCTGTTTTTTTTCTAATTAGTACAAATACTGCTGTGAATAAAACACTTTGATTCTAAAAATTTGCCAATAGCTGTTGCTGATAATGAAAATTAAGATTATTGCATTGACTTATAGTTATGATGTCCAGATAAATACTGAATTTCGAACTACTGTTTTGATCTAGTGCAAACATCGTTTAAGTACTGGATAGAATTATATCAAGGGTTTATTTAGCGGTAAAAATATAGCGTATTTTTGAGGCTTATTAATTACGTTTCATTCATAAAAATTGAGTGTATGGTTACTCTGCGTACATTGTTAGTCAGCTGTAATTCACGTACATCTGGAACAAATGGTATTTGTCCCAAGATGCCATACTAAATTAGCATGATCAGATGGATTTACTAAGATGAACGATATGCACATCATTTGTCTGAGTAAGTCTTATCATGAAGTTTGTTCCTTTTACGAATCTAAATAAAGCCAGAAGAATAATTGGGGTATATTTTTTGGAAGATGTAAAGAAGTGAGAACATACACTCTTCTCTCGGTTCTTCCAATCTGTTTGCGTTAGCGCTTTCATGTAAACTGGTAAATGCAGTTGGATGTACTGAGAGATGACTCGGCCATGTTTGTTTTCTTCAGTGGGCAGTTTGTTCCATGTAATGTCAGAAGTTTTGTTGCTGGGTTAGCAATGTTCAACACAACATTTATCCTGTGACTAATAATTCCAGTTATTTTATCTCCTTTGAAGGGCAGATAAAAGAAACAGGTTTTCTTGTGCGCTGCATCATATTCAACACGAGAGTTAGATTCAGTATGATTCTCGATAAACTTTGTTGATTACGCTCTTTCACATATGCAGGTTGTAATGAAAGCAAATTCACTATCCATCCTTTCTTTAGGACAGTTTTCAAGCCCGGTCTCATCAATCTGCATATATTCATATACATCTAAACTAGGGTACTGATTTGATTTAAAATCACTAGATTTTTGACATTATTCATTTCTTAATTTTACTAACCTGATAGTATTGCCATACAATAGCTAAATAATTTCAAAAATATTTTTCCTCAAATGAATTTAGATGTTTTTTATTTGCTGCAAACAATGGTGATCCTGAAGCTTGCATTTCAGCTCAAACAGCACTTGGTTACTTATATTCGGGATCAGAAATTCGTGATTTACAAAAAGCATTTCGGTGGCATTCTGATGCTTGTGGAAATGGTAGTGTGGAATCGCAAGGTAAATGCCTCATTTATTAGAAACGGGCTTTATTACTTACTTACTAACCCATCTTACGCACCATGGAGCAGAGGCCATCGATGAGCATTCTCCAACTACACCCGTCCTTTCCAATCCTATCCAATCGCAGTCCATTCTTCCCATGTTTGGTCCAGATTCTCGGCGCAATGCGTTCTTTGAATTTTCCTCCGGTTGCAATAGTTCAAAGTTAAGGTTTGTCAACCTTTTGAAGCAGTTGAGTGATTTCCGCAACGTGTATCTCATCTTCCTGCAGCTCTCTTTCGTGATTTGTCCATCGTTTAAAGTTTCTGTGTCAAGTGTATTTTGGATGGCGTATGTTGTGTTGTATCCAAGAATCTTGCTTTTCCATTATGTATGTTGAGACATGCTGCTGCTGCGGTTGCTGCTACAGTGATCGTCTCTTCTTGCATTTGTTGTTGCATGTGCGATAGAAGAGCCAAAATATATGCGAAGTCTACATCGTCCAGCTGAATCCTGGTTGTCAACTGTATACTGTTTATCCCCCGAGATGTTGACGTCTTCATAATCCAACCATTCACCAGGAGAAAACGAAAGGGTGAGAGTAAGCAACCCTGACTGACACCGGTCTTCACCTCGAAAGAGTCTGCGAGCTGCTTTCTGTTTACGATGTTGCAGTATAATTCATTGTGAGAATTTCGTCTGAAGTTGACTATATCCTCAGGTACAGTAGCCTTTATAGCGTCAATATGTGCAAGCTATCAGATGCTTACTCGTTGTCAATGAAACTGATGCACAGTGATGAGTTCCATCCAACTGATTGTTTCACAGTAATCCGTAATGTTGCAATTTGGTCGGTCCACGACCGATCCTTGCGGAATCAGGCCTGCTGATCTTGAATTCGGGTGTCTACGGAATCCTTCATTCTGTCGAAGACTTTGTCTGGTATTGAGAGAAGAGCCATGCCCCTGTAGATTTCGTTGGTATTTTGATCAGGTGTCCTTCTTCCAAGTCTGTTGGTACTTATTCTTCACCTAAAATCTTGCTGAAGAGGATGTGGAGTATCTTCGCAGTTGCTGATACGTCTGTTTTTAGTGCCTCTGCTGGAATGTTGTTAGATCCCGCTGCTTTGCCGCTCTTGATTTGTTGGATAGCCGTGCTGTTCTCCTCAATTGTCGGTGAGTCAATATTGATTCGCAGGTCCGTGGGTTCAGTGGTGCTGGTTGATTCAGGAGTTACTTGAAGTGCTCTACTCACCTGTCTCGCGGTTCTTCAACGTCGGTGATCGCTTTGCCCTACTTGCTTTTCACTGGTCGTCCTGGTTTACGATAGTTTTCAGCGAGCTTCTTTGTTGTATCGTATAATTGTTCCATGTTTCCTTCTCGTGCTGCCTTTTCCACCGTCACTGCTAGATCTTCCACATATTTACGTTTGTCAACTCTGATGCTCCTCTTTACTTGCTTGATTGTTACTGTGTATTCAGCTTTTCTTTGGATTAGTCTGCTCTTGTTCAGCTGATGTTAATTGGAGTCTTCTTGTTCCTCCTTTCTCGAATTTTATCCAGTGTATCAACAGTGATCCATTACTTGTGATGGTACCTCCTGAGCTCCAGAACCCCATGACGAACTGAAATTATTTCTTTGGTAGTTTCCTCTCCATTTAGTAGAACAGATACTTTTTTGAAATACTTCCAGCTGAACTACATTCAATTAATTTTATTGAAATTGAATCGCTACAAATTTTCGGTCTGCCTTTTTTCAAGTTGTAACGTAGAATCATATGGAAAACGACTTGTTAGTAGGACGTAGATTGGATGAATGCATGTCCGATTCAGGGTTATGTTTGGGCATGCTGATTGGCCCATTCTTAGCCATTCAGTGCTAGTGGATAGCTGAAGCAGGTTCTAGAATATTCTTGCGTAAATACTATGAGCTAACGCTTTTATGGTATGATTCCTTCGCATACAACTTTATTTGTCAGTATGTAGTGTTCAAATTTTTGGTGATTGTTTGAGTGCTTAACAGTGTTGAGGAATACTAAGCAATAAGCTAGCTGGGTCGTAAAATCGAGATCATTAACACAACTGAAAACCAGGATGTGAGAAAATTAGGTTCTTCGTTTTATTTCGAAAATTACCAACAGCTTTCTTATCCAATATATAGGGGAATGAATCCAGGAATTCAAGTCTTGCGGACAGCTTTGTCATTTGGTTTCTCGGATTGAAGATCAGTTATCTGCAAAGTCACATATATTAGCTAATGATATGGAACTATACTTCACTCAAATATTCAAAAATAATCAGTTTGATAGTGACTATGAATCGTGTATAATACTAATTAAAGTTTGATTCACTTTGTATGAACCCTTTTAGAATCATATTGGGATATAATATTACAAAACTTGCTGTTCTCAATACTATTTCATAAATTGAATTGATCATCACTATATTGTGAGATATCATTTTTGGATAAGGAGTTCAAACTTTATTGAAATTTTAGTTATTATTTCATGCTGAAATGAGCCTTTAGATTGATAGTCATTTATCAAAAAGAAAACACAGTATTTTATTTTAGGCACTGTAAGAATGAATGTTTGCAGAAGTAATCTGTTCCCAGAAGCCGAAATCATCCTTCTGACCTAAAGTCTAGTTAGGAAAGGGATTATTCTCCATACATCAACTAATAGATTATCGAAGTTATCACATTTTAAAAAAGCGCCCTCATAAACTTCAGGTTTTGATAATGTTCCGTAGAATTTCATTTTAAAATACGTTTAGAACTAAATGTAAACTACATTTCAACATAAACAAGCAATCTAGTCAGTACTCTGAAAGATGATTGTAACAGTAAAATGTTCTAGAAAGAACACCTACTTAGTACTATTCATATTTTCGTTTATCTATTTTTATTATTTAGCGGTATTAGGTGTGATGTATTTATATGGAATAGGTGTGAAAGAAAATTGTGATAATGCATTATTCTGTTTATCTGAAGCTTCAGCCAAAGGCAGTTTATATGCTAAAGCAAATTTAATTTATTTTTACTATCGACGAAAAATGTTTACAAATGTATGTTACTTGGCTAGCAGGTAATACGTGGTTTTATTTATCAAAATATATTATTTGCACCATTTTATCTAAATGAAACATGTTTGATTTATTTGTTTATATTGTCTGGATAATTTTGTGTTTTGATTCTAGACAGTAAAATGTTTTGAATTTATAATAAGATATATGAAATTAATACCAGTCAATCTCAAGGGCATACAGTTCTCAAAAACTAGTTTAAAATAGCAATGGGACTAAAATGCGAAAAAATGAGCAAAATTATAAACGAAAGCAGAATATTTCAGTTTGATAGTTCCTATGTTTTATCTTAACCGAACTATTTTCTTGAATATCAAAACTACTTATTTTCGTCAGTAAAAACAGCGGAACTCATTTAGCCTTTTTAGAATATACAGCTCTTATCATTAGACACTTCATTCGTGAATGATGTTTCCGTATACTGCGTGCGTATTTTATTAATCCTAAATATCAAAGTCAATTTCATCGTTCTTTCTCTAATTAAACCTATATAACAGCGATAACAACATACTTACAAAGCATCTTATATCTGCATGTTTGTTCCTTAAATGAACTGATATTGTTGAATGAAACAGTGATCAGTTGGTTCATTTGATTCAACGTCATTAATTCTTAGTTCAGCTAAACATTGTCGTTTTAGTGGTTGAAGAGAGGAATAATTTATTGGTTTAGAATTTCTTAGACCACTAGAGTAACTACTGAACATTTTTGAGGTTCAGTTGTCAAGTTTGTTAAGGTGAATTATTAAAATAGCATTTCTAATTTAAAATTCGGATGCATGTGTTCGTTTAATGGAATACTAATAGCACTTTTAAAACCTTTTATCGAAGTAGTTCTAATGGAGGTCATGAGATTAACTAACGGTCTAAATAATCTCCTCTATACCACAAAGAAATTTGAGGTTAAAACAAAAAACAACTAACTACCCATTGATCTCACCTGCTTATCGAATTACACTTCAATTTATTGAGGTTTACTAATGCACTATAAAACCTGATATGCTGTAACGAATTCTGCCGGACATCCGTATTCACCGAAAGTTCATCTCATATTTCTAGTTTTAATCTGAAGGTTTTTATAAGTGTGAACTGTTAACAGTCTACAGGATAAAATCAAAAATACTATTCAGTCATTATTAGCTTACAGTGTTTAAATGATTAGTATGAAATCTCGATGTATAGCAGAAAAAGAGTTTTTGTTGACCATGAGAAACAGTTTCGGATAATTTCTTGCTATCACTGTCAAATGCAAAATTTATTATTTTTTAGATCATGTATAGTCAACAAACACTATATCTAACTAAAACGTGAGAACTATTTAGAATGAAATCGGTTAAGGTAATAATCAAACAAACATACCGAAAGATGACTATTCATCGGCACCTGAACTAAGGATGGCAAATCAATCATCAGTTGAGGTGGTTGGTACATGTGTTACGTATGGCTAACCGCCGACTGCCTCGATGAGCTATGTTTTGTGGTGCAGGAGTAGGTTGGAAGAAAGCTAGGGGCAGCCAGACCAAAACATGGCACGAATCCATGAAGTCACTGACTAGTGGACTGAGTCATGTTGGTAGATGTAGACTATCTAGTTGGGGTCCGCGAGACGACAGTCACCAATGGTTAGAGACCTTGAACGACATGGCTCAAAATCGTTTGCATTGGCGCAAGTGCATCCATTCTTTGAGCTCTCTCAAATCCTAATCTTCTGGATTCGTCAGCACCTCTACCCTCGTCTTTCTAACCTTATCTCACTGAATTATACTTCTTGAATAATATCTTCAAACCCTAGTCTTCTTTCTTCATTACCATTAATACCTCTACTATGTCTATCACTATGGGATTTGATTTGACATTTGCGTCTCTGTGCTAATGTGGTATGGCAACATGAACTTATGTACACACGTACGAAGTTCTACGTTGTAACTGACTATGAATGCAAGTTGTTATTTACCAAGTAAAAGTTCACGTTGTCGTTTTGTAGGAAATTTCATCAAAAACGGAAGTAATAATTAGTTATCTAATGTAAATTTCTTCATTCACTACGCTTTATGACGAACTCTCAGTTGATATAAATTATTTCATCATTATAAGAACTGCTACCATGGTGATAAACAAAAATTATCTTTCACCTAATTTTTAAAAATTATCTATTCCAATAATTCGTGTTATTTTTACAAGTTTTGCAAACATCATTTTTTATTATTATTATTTCTCGTAAATGTTTTTCTATGCTTTGCTTTTTAATTATAGACTGGTGAGTTGTGGTAATTTCATGACAACATCGGAATGTATACAAACATTTCAGTATCGAGCTATGTCAATGGCATGTTTTCTTTATGCATTATGCTTAAAAAGTGGTAAAGGTGTAAAAAAAGATGAACGATTAGCTGCTCAGCTATTTTCCAAGGTTTGTATATCTACTTCATGTATCGCATTTATGCAGCTAATTTATTTAATTGTATTATTGTTATTTCTATACCTTTTAACAAATAAAGCAACCAAGAATTATGCGTTTTGAATTACTTACATTTTTATTTCATTTAATTTACTTAAGTTTCCTGAATGCCTTTCATCAAAAACATCTATCTCGTAATTCTTTGAGATACAAAAATAACATGTCATTCCAACGACGTCCATAGAGTTATTATCATTATTATTAAATTGGAAAGTATATTACAACCAACAGAGTACCACATACCTAATCAGGTGATCTATTTAATATTTATTCAAAAAATTTTGATGACAGGTTAATGGTGTTTTGCAATATCAGAATGATGTGACGTCAATTTACATACCACTTGAATTCATTGTATTCTAATAGGAAATTTGTGACTTGTTAGAAAGATACTTCAAAATAAAGACAAGGAAAAATATTAACAAATGTCTTAATTGACATGACAAAGTAGATTGATACGATAATAATGAACGAAGTGAATGGAAATAAGGGAACAGACAAAGAGTATGATTGCTTTCTTCAACTACTTTACATCACCGAGTAGAGAGATTACAAACTGATTATTTAAGAAAAAATATGACATTATGCACGTTTCAGTTCATCTGAAATGACAATGAAAAAGAGAGGTGGCAAATTCTAACTAGTTCAGCAGCAGATCTGAAATTCTTCATTCTTTACACCACTTCATGTAATTGGGGTAAAGTGACCAGATTAACAAGTGAATAGAACAAGGAGCAAAATAACGTAAAATGCAATAGAAATCTCAGCTGCAGAAATATGCATTTAAATAAAGGAATGGGGAGTTAGCGATGATGCTAAGACCAGGACATAGTAAAAAACAGAAACTAAGCACAACTGCAATCTATTTTAGTCCAAGTTCCTCAACGTCTTCAGCTCTTGCAGGATCCGAACATGAAGTCATGATATAACCCAAGACTTTCATATCTAAAAATAAACAAGTTATCAAATATCTATTAAGTTCAAACAAAATAACCTAACACTTTACATTGAATTTCGATGAAATTTTCTTGGTTTTTTCTGATAATTTTCTCATTGTTTCATATATTGTAGAGTGTTGAATGGGATCCATCATTAGCCGCAAGATATGTGAACTTAGTGATAGCAGGTGAATTGTAAATATAAGATTAGAAAACAAACGTCAAAAAATTCAATCTGAAATTATTATAATTTATTTCATTTACATCATAAAATTACTTCTATTCCAATAATTTCTCCCTAGATATTTTTATATCTTTTTGTTGATATTTTAATTTGTCAGTACAAACCGTTATTTTTGCATACCTTATTCGTTAATTTAATAAATGATTTTGATTTCTCTACTGGATTCTTAAAATTTTAATTCAAGTGACTGCATTCAACTAGCCTTTATTCATACACTATCATAATAGATTAATAGGGGAAATATTTGAACATGATTGGTTCGTTAATGTTACGGAAGTAAGTCGTAATTCGTAATGACTTTTTATATATGCATACAAGTGAAATTGCACAAATTAGGAAAATTAATGCATTTTAAGCATCTGGAAATACCATAGTCTTACGAGATGTCTTTTTAGTTGACTTAATGAGAAACCCTATTCTCATTACTGGCTGATTAATCGACAGTAACGGATAGCAGCGAAATCACGGACTTCATACTCACTACAGGATGCACACATGCCAACTAAGGCCGATAGAAATTTAGTGCCGTTATAATCTCCTGGGAGAACTGCGATAAAAATCACTGGTGGAAGCATTTTTAAGGCAATATCAAAAGAAAAATCTTCAATCAATAGTATATTCAATGGTACTGAATTAGGTTTGCGGACAGATTGCTGTAGATTCTCTGAAATTTATCGATAGAACTATTCACTTGGTGAAATTTGAATAAAAAATTACACTTTTGATCGATTTGCAAAATTTAATCCATTACTAGGCGTGAAAGACAATTCTTTCATTATCATGAAGAAATTTAGATTTCGCTGAACTTACTGCTTCAATAAAGGAGCAAGTCCGAGCTTAGTTTAGATTTTTAGTTTCAGATACAATCGATCTCAAGAATGCGAACAGTAGTGCAATCCTGAACATATCAAACTCTAATTTTTCTGTAATAAGACAGCCCGACATTATATGGATTGATCAGTTATAACCAATATGTTTTTCAAATTCTTAGTCCTAATCGGACTTCATCAATCGGGTGCAAGATACTTACTTGATCAACAGAATTCGAGTGCCAACCAGCGTTAGACAGAGTATGAAACTAATCAGCAGTACACAATGATCAATATAGAAAACTCAATCCTCCAGAAGGTCGAACAGCTCAGTGGTAACGTCTCAGACTTTAATACTGCATAACGACGGTTCAAATCTCGCAGCCAGCATTAACTCCTTTGAATAGTCAGGTACATCTTTGTCAAGAAGTGTTCATCCGATAAAAAAACAGATCAGGCGTTTCTTGCTTGCTCCCTTCAATCACCGAACATCACTACTTAAAATAAAAGTTATGAATCTTAGTATTGGATCGACGTATACGTTACACAAAATGAGTCAGCATAATTTAGATGTCAGCAATGTGACTGGGTCTGAAGATAAACTGTACGTAGTTGAAACTTAAATGCACCAGTTGGTGGGCAATACATGATTCCTTGACATTTATGTAGTTTGAGTTGAGATAAGGATCATCGAAGCAAATCTCTCAACGTTTATCAGCCCTAAGTATTAAATTCCATTTCATGCGTCATAAGACAAATTTGCCAAGTTCCATTCTGATACGAATACATCAGCTTGTGGAAAAGTGTACTTTCTGAATCATAGGTCCGACGATACTGGAACAAATGCCTGTTTCCAGATTGTAAATAGTTTCGGTAAAAATTACAGAATATAGGGTTTGCCATATTTGAAGTGATTACTAGTGAGCTGTACTACTTCCTATAAACCTGTCCTTAATTATTTGAATTTTTTAATCATTTGTATAGTTGTTAGAAATAAAAGAAACTGTATGCAGATGTCCTCATGTGTCATAATATTTAACTGGTATGGACTGTTAGACTTAAGTAGTCGTGCATATTATGATGGGTGCAACAGAGCATGAGCAAAGACTGCTGGTTTAATAAAATACATCTGTGAAATTGTTGCATAAAAGGTCACTTCAATCCGAAAACCTTAGCAGAGTTTTTAAAAAGTCCACGTACTGATTTTTATAGTCATGATATTAATCCAAAAGAATAAACTCATCTCAATAGTTATCAACATCAGTCATAAAGTGAAATCCGCGTGGTCACTTAACTAACTTGTATGGCACTAAGTATACATCATTAATGTGTTTAACAAGGCTGAATGTGGTCTTACATAAGGTTTAAAATTCCATTTCTAGTGCACTTGGATAACCTTTAGGTAATAAAGCGTGTCTCAATAGGGGTGAAATATTGATAAAAATTTTAGTTTTGAATAGAAAACATAATGACGAAAATCACATTCTGAAACACACACAGTCCAGATATTATACGATTAGGATAAGGATAGGATAATTATCTTCTAGGATCCGGTAAAAACATTCCTTCTAGTAGATTTGGAGTTTGTTGATTATTAGTTGGTCAAATTCGTCTCCCGATTATTAGTAAATGATAACTAAGCTGTGCATGGTGAAATAGAATAATCATCCGTTATATATGCTTTTCATAAAAAATTATTTCCAGTTAGGATAATCTTGCGATAAAATGTTTAGTAAACAGTTACAATCACAAGCAACATTTAAAAAGTAGATTTCTCAAAAATTTATTTTAGCGACTATACAAAGTAGATACAAAATGATGATGAATTCCTTCTTATGTTACAAATCTGAGCTTCTCTGAGATAGGAGACACTTCACATAAATTCATTGTCAAAGTGTTATCAGCTGATAATTCAAGACGAGTAGCTGGATGACTTTTCTTCGTCCTTATCTAAGCATAAATAGTGAAGAAGGAGAGATGTTTATTGTTCAGTGTTGAGAATAATTAGAGGTTATATCATTAAAGATGTAGGATCCGTAGTAACAGGCTATTTTACTGATAGCGTTTTTCATACTTTATTCGTCGAGGTTGCCCTAAAACTTGAATAAAAATATACAATTCGCCCCGTTGACTGAAATTTTGATTCTACCTGACAATCAAAAATTCTGTAACTAGCGTTAGTTCTCAATGAAAAATGCCTGAGATATTCTAACTGCAACTACGAAATCTGATGAAATTATCAAAAATATATAGTTGTTTAGATTGTACCTTCCAAACAATAAAGCCATACTTACAGATACAGAAAGTTAGAATTCTACTTTTACAAAAAGTGTTGCATAATACATAACGGTTAGTTATGGAATTTTACCTAACCTTTCTCATTTTCAACAGGGTTTCTTAAAGAGAAAATCAGCTTTTCCGCTAGACTGAATTTTAGTGGTTTTATCTGACTTCTGGATTTTTCATATTCCATTTTCATTTGCTTTTTGACAGCTTCTTCAAGTGTTAAACCAATCCATTCAGCTTCTTCCAACTGCGCAAAGGTATCAGTATTAGGATTACCATAGAAAAAAGCCAAAACAATACGTACGAAATAATAAAACTTGATTGGCATACAGACAAATTAATATGTGCAAAAAAGTGATCATTCTATATTGCGAACTGGCTGAATTTGTAGACATGGATCACTGGACCCTCAACCAGTGATGTAGAGATATCATCTTTACTCCCAGTTCTGGAAGTTCTAAGTTTGGTTCAGTGGGTTGGATAAGGCAGTTGTTGCGAGTACCTCGACTTTCAATAGTTCTTCCTCAAATCCCAGTGTAACGTAAAAAGTAACTTTAAATAAACCTCAAAGAAATGCTTTTTTTGAAATTATTGGAACTGTTTGAAACCGGATCGTGATTCGCTAGTCACTCGATAATGAAACAAAATCGAGTATTGGGAGAAAAAATAATGACAAATATTGGTAACTCAAAAATGAAGCAAATAGATACATATTTACTAAGATTTTTCTATTCAGTTATTGCTAACAGTTCTAGGTACTTTAAATATTTAAGATACTATTATTAAGCTGCAGTGTTCGTCAATTTTAGATGTAGCACTGTTCTACAAGACAATCGCAAAAACTAAGAAAGAAAAATATATGAGCAGTGTGTAGTAATCAACATTTTCTACTCTGGTGAGGAAAGTAGAGAGTGAATCAAGTATTACTAGTAAAATTGCATCATAAACTATATTACCCTGCATTATTCCATCAATAAGATAACAGGTTCATCAATATCGAGGTGGTAAGCAAAACCTAATAACACCATAACCTTACGGTGTGCTAAGAATATATAACAACACTGTGATTACTTGTGAAAAAAGCAGTGCACTAAATACCGATAAACTTAGAGATCGCATTTTTAAAAATGTTTCAAATGAAAACTGAAAAGTAGTCAATAAGTTAAAAATAGCTGATAAATATACTGAGAATTTTAATGGCCATTTGACTTACAGTGAGTTACGATTAAATTTATTATCAAATTTTTTAAGTATGACAGACGCAATGATGTGAAGTATAATGTGTTAAACTTCCCTTTACTGGATTGCTTTTCTGTTCATTTGACACTTTTTCAGAAATATTGTTCCTTAAACTTCACTTTAGAGTTAGTCAGTATAAAAATACACTGGCTATGGGTTTATGATTGAACCGTTCATATTTGGTAGATGAAATTCCACTAAATAAACATTGCAGTACCATCCGACTGGTCCCAATCACTGATTGTCCCGGTCTACGACAAAGGCCGAATTCCTCTTGTGACAATTAAAGAGAAATCAGTCAAACTAATATTGTCTAAGATACATGCTTCAATAATACTTCGACTCCCAACTAGAGCTAGTGAAAAGTAGACTCAAGAAAATCAGGATGGTTTCAGACCTGAACGGACATCTCGCTTACACCATAAGTGACGTTAGTCGGCGAAAGCAAGTCGAGACTTCTGTATCCGTGCCGAGATTTCGCCAGTCACCAGGCCATCACCACTGATGAGACTCCTGAGGTAAGTGAAGCGGTCGACAGGCCCAACTAATTCCCTCCCTATCACTAGTTCAGATGCCGATGAAGCCAATCGTGAAGCAACATATTGCGTTTCGAGGGGCGAAACCGCATCCCCAACATACATGCATTGTTGCTTAGGGTAGTCAGAAGACTGCATTTTTAAGCATCTTCACCAAGTACAACTATGTCATCGGCATATTCCAAGTCTACAAATGAATTTCCCGATAAAAATGCAGTTCAAGAAAAATCAGACGAGGAAATTGTTTTGTAAGCATGTCTATGACAAAGATAAACGGGAATGGAGAGGGTGGACAATCTTGACGAATGCCATTCGGGGTAATATATTTCCGACGACAGTTCGCCATAATCTCAGGGGTCAATCTATTAGGAACTGCTGCTCGCCCTTGCTTCAGATTTCCTATAACTTTCTCAGCTTAGTAAAGACTCGGAGGACTTATATCGATTTGCCATTCAGGATGACTGGAGATTGTGGGCAACCGAAGTGTGGCTGAAGACCAGTTGAACTGAGCCCTGAAGTGTTCTTCCCGTTGATCCAATTTCCTGGGTTGAGAATGAATCATAAGACCATACTTTTCTGAGATAGTTTCACTAATAGACGGATTTCTAATGCCGGTTTCCTTTATAAGGCGGAACAGTCGTGTACTGATTTTTCCATCGCTCTTGGTTTCGCTACCAACCACTGTTCGCGATCATTGCGTAGGCTTCTTATCAGCTTGCGCTTAAGCTGCTACTAAGATCCACGGCTTCTTCCTACCCTTATGGTTTAACTTGCTAGCAGATATCACTGGTATTTCCAAAGCATTTTGAAAATCATTCCAAGCTGCCTCCGGATGGGAATCACTTACACGGTCGATTAACCGTTTTTCTAGTTGTTTCTGAAATATATTCATAGCTCTGTTATCATTAGGTATAACCCTACAAGGTTTTCTTGTGGTGTCTTTCCTATGTCTGGTAAGTCACAAACAAATACGTGATCCCACTAGAGCATTATCTGAATATAAACATGTGCCCCAAAAGGAGCGAAAGTCTTCTATTGAACCCCTTCATCGGCGGCTGATAGCGATATGATCAAATTTGGTCCAGCATTTGCAAATCTCCAACCACTTAAGTTCCTTTCTCCCAGTTCATGTCGTCCCATGTCTTCATATCCAGTATTGTCCATCCCAATTTTGGCATCTATGTCTCCCATTAGAATGATCAAATCCTCTGATGAGCATCCATCGACGATTGACTGCAACCTCTATTGGAATTGAGCATTAACGTCTTATTTGTTGTTGTTGGTAGGAGCATAGTATTGTATAACATTCAATGTAGTTTCGTCTTTCTTTGTTTTGAAGGACGATTTGATGATCTTTGGTCCATGAGATCCGCATCCTTTAAGTATCTTCTGTGCATCTTTGAATTGCATCAGTGCAACTCCTTTCGTGTGAGGCATTTTCTTCTTCATGACCGGAGTACAACAGCAGCTCTCCTGAAGTCAGTCTTAGTTATTAAACCTGCGTGAAGTAGTAAATTATTTAGTACTTATTAATTTAGACAAAGCATGCACTACTGACCTAGTAGTGGTAATATTAACATCTAAATAATCGGATTCGATTAGGGACACCACCTGTCAGCAATTCACTTCCCACAGGTAAAAAACCATACATATACATTCTGGAACTACACAGATAATCGGACAGTAACCAAATAGTTCTGATGTCAGATGTTAACATAAATCTGTCAAAAAATGACGGACTTCGGAATGACTGATTTTTGGACCTATTTCCCCACAATTCGAACAAGATTTGGACATATGTGAGGATTTTGACTGGTGTGATACTGCTTATGCTCACTCATCTAGTGCATAAGAAATCCATACTGGAAATAATTTGGAGGAAAAGCGTGTCTAATCATTTCCCAGAATAGTAAACCTGCTGAACTGCAGTAATCCAAAAAGGTAAGCGCGACTCGTTACTCAGAAGGATTACTCGGACGCTCTGTAGCCACCAAAGAAGTTAACGATTCACAGGTCACTTAACAACTTTAAGTGGCGATTGTGTCAAGAGTGGCTATGATCACCACCACAGCAATTACGAGCCATTACAAGCCAAACGACAGTGAAAATGGAGATGCATGCTAAGTGATATGACTTACAGGTATGATAAATTTAGAATACTTTTGCCAGCTCTTTTTCATGTGACCATCCTGCTCGGCTCTTGCAAGTGTTACTAACATGTCTCTTTTTAAATGCATCCCCAGTCGACTTCTGAGTTTTGATTCTGGAGTCTAAGAAAGATCACATAATGTCTGTACGGACAAACCGAAAGTATGTAGAAATCAAAACCATTAGCCTTTTCGATTTGTTTTAGAGCACTATCTGTCACTATGATAGTCATCCAACGGTTTAGGATTTCACTGTGAAACAGATTTTCCATGAGAACGGGACTCCATGTCTTAGGAAATCTTTCGAAAAATTACGGATATTTCAGCAAACCTCGGTCTCCGGGTTACTTTCTCCCAATAACCTTGGACGATACCTTCACCACCCCATAGGCACTTCTGAGACTCAGGAGGATAGACAATTTTCATAGGAGTATCAAAGTATGAACTAGGAAGTCTAGATAAAAAAAGTTGGCGAAGAGAATGAAGTCAACATACACATTTCCTGTCTTGTCATCTTTAAGCAGTGATGAATTGCACACTCTTTCATTGGCTAATTCATGCTGGTTCTGTAAATACCTCCTTCTATAATGAGACGGCAGACGATTAATCACATCTTTAATCTGGTTGTAAAAAAAGAGGCGCGACATCCCCGAAGACCGCCAAACGACAAGGACAATCCAATATCCAATATCTTTTTCACGAGCTAGTGTAAACGGATTGATTTTTTCGCGCTCGATTCTTGTTCTTTCGGTGCGGTTCCAGGTGTTTGGTAGTGTCTAATGAATATGAGTCTAGTCACTCGATTATCTAACCCTAGTCAGTTGGCAGTTGGTTGTGAGTTTGTATGTCTCAGGATTTGAGTGAAAACGTTTGTTTCAGGGCAGTAGGGTTTCTGGATAACAGCAGCCGTCACATTACCAAACCGGAGATCATTAGTTGCAATGTGGAGAGTAATAAGGATGATAAGCATAAAATTCTAATGCTAATATGAATAAAATTTCAGAACTGAGTAATATATAAATGAATTTAGTTTGTTAATTGGTAGTGAAGATTGTGAACGAGGACCGAAGTGTCAGCAAGAGAGAGAAAACAGAGATAATAGGCGAGATTGATTAATTGAGTGATCTGAGGAGATGACGATGATAACAACTAGCAGGTCTCAAGATATGCATCAGGTACAGCTTGTCCAAGGGGGAGATGATTGTCCGTATGTGAGTACGTGATTACCAAGTCTCTTCTTAAAGCAGTCCACTGAGGGGGCTGTAACTACCTCAGCTGGGAGAGCATTCCAAGTTACGACGACTCGCAATGAGAAAAACTGTGCACGAATATGAGTATGTGCAATCTTTCGAAGATTGCCTCTAGGGGAATGGTGGTGATGCATCGGTAAGATGCTCACATTGGGATGGTTTGGCGTGTTTAATATGGTGTACGCCATTATCAGATCACCTCTGATTCTCCCGTAGCTCAGTGGAAATAATCCCAAGAGCTGGAGTCTCTCATCGTAGTGTTTATTTTTCAACCCTATCACCCATTTGGTTGCTCGTCTATGCACTGGATCCAAGAGATTTTTGTCTCTTTTAAGCAGAGAGGGTGCGATGACGTTGTTAACTTTCAAGTGTGGGCGCGCGTACGTCTTAAACAGGGTTAAAAATAATTTCGAGGTCATGGCACCAAGCTGTCTTCGCATAAAGTGAAGAGTCGCATTTGCCTTGGCTGCGTCCCCTACATAGTTTGGACTGCTGTGGAGGCTTTCTGTGGTTATTAAACCGAGATCGCGCTCTGAGGAGACATTAGGGAGCAAACTTCCATTGAGGGTATAGGTCGTTTGCGTCATATGAGGCAGGAAATGCATCAAGTGGCACTTCGTTTGGTTGAGTTTTAAACCGTTTCTCACTGCCCATTTCTTAATAGATGTAAGGTCCTTTTGAAGCTCAGTCGAATCCTCTTCGCTTCTAATGGACCTCCAGATCTTCGCATCGTCTGCGTAGATCAATGCCGGTGAGCTAACTGAGCCTAGCAGGTGGTTAATAAATATCAGGAAGAGAAGTGGGCCTAGGATGGTCCCCTGTGAAACTCCCTGTGTGGATACTCGCCAACTCGCGTGCACTCTGTTTACCTTGGTGGGAAACTTTCTATTCTCAAGGTAGTTTTGAGCCAAGATAGGAGTGGGTCAGTGAAGCCCATTTCCACAACCTTTTGGATTAGGCTTGCGTGAGGTACTGTGTCAAAAGCCTTTACAAATTCGAGGAATATTACGTGTACCGTTATTTTACGGTCTAAACAGGATGTCCAACTGTCCCATGCGATGAGGAGATTAGATGCACACGACCTGCATTTCCAAAACCCGTGTTGAGCATCATGGAGTATTTTATTCTTTTCCATGTACTCCCTCATTTGTTCGTCCACTAGCCCTTGCATAAATTTTGATAATATTGGTAGTAGTGCGACCGGTCTGTACCAGGCAGGGTCCTTTCTATCTCCTCCTTTGAAGATTGGAGAGAGAGTAGCTTGTTTCCATTCCGCTGGGAATTGGTGTGACCCCAGTGAATGCCTGAACAGGTTGCATAACGGTGAACAGAGGGCTTCAGCACACTGTTGCAAGATTATAGGGCGGATTTTGTCACAACCTGATGAAATGCGTGGTACGGTTCCAGGTATTTGGTAGTGTCCAATGGACGCGGGTATATCCAGTAGAAACACAATTGCATTAATTCTAGTCGGTTGGCAGTTGTTTGTGAGTTTTTACGTCCTGTGATTTGAATGAGTATGTTTGTTTCAGGACAGCAGGGTTTATGGATACTAGCAGCTATCTTATATCAGACCGGAGATCAGTTAGCTGCAATGTGGAGATTCATAAGAAGTCTAATACTATTAAGAATAAGATTTCATAACTAGGTAACTAAATGGATAATTAACTTTATTAATTGGCAGTAAAGATTGTTTGACAGGCTTGTATTTGGTTCTTGCAGCTTGTTTTTACTACTCCTTGAAAGCGTTTGCTATTGAGTGTGATATCACTTGTTCGAGTATGATGTTTCTTTAATTGAATATGCAATAGTAAAATCAGAATACCGCTGTGAGTTTATCTGATCACAGATTTCGAATGTTCTTGCTGTGGCTTTGGAGAGGTTTGATTTCGAAGGGAGAAAAAGACTAATACGTATTAACATCTGAATCGTCATTTAACGGATAGAATGTCAATATGAGCTCTGCGTGTTCTTAGATAAGGGAGAGAGATTTAGGCTTTTCAGACACTCATTACAGGAGCGTTTCGAAGCACCAGCCACGAACTCATGTCCAACCCGATGAACGCGTTTGAGTATTATAATACCGTTAATAAGACAATTTATGTGCTTGGATATAGTGCTCTAGGTGAGGTTACATACTTCTTGAAGAGACTAATAAATTTCCAAAATGAACAGTTTTCCAAGTCTTCGACATTAATCCTGACCTCGGTAGTCATAATTAGCACATCGTTTATGAAGGTACCGCACCAGATCACCATAGAGTATACCACGCTATCGACCAATTCAAATCACTACTCAACATCCCAACTATCTTTCACACGATATTATAATTAACTTCGATCACTTCCCTTCCTTGACTGAGTTTGGCATTCTGGCATTCAATCTAGAGGCATATAGCTACAGTCTTTTTATATTTATTCATGTTTTTATGTACTGAAACTAAAGTAGTTCATGACTCAGTAGTAGGAACAGGTCTTGAAGATGTTTTCTGAGCCGAAGCACCTTTACGATTTATTCGCCGTTCCAAGGAAAGCAAAGTGTTGGATTACATGTTGATTATGAGGTGAGTATCCGTGTCCCAACCTCGAACGTAGTCTTGCAGTTCGTCTACTAGTTCTTGACTAATTCATCTACATTGTTTGACAAATTCATTCAGATCTTAAATCTAGATTGGTGAAATATATATCCGCTAGTTATTAGGATGGGTTGGAGCAGAAACATCTTAAATTGTGCTCAAAGTCTAGGATAAAATACATGGTGATTGTAGAATCTTTTTTGAATGTTTTGTTTTTTGGAAAATCCCTCCATGTATAGTTATTTGTGTTATGATATGAGTGACTCTTTCTGTTGACATTTTGGTACTCTATTTGATTCCATTTTGAGATTTTATTATTGTATATTGTTATTATTTCTATATCTTGTACTTGTACTGAAGTTTTTATGTTTGCTTCTGAACTGTACATATGTTGTTTAAATTTGATATATAATATGGCTACAGCCATATTTGGATTTGATACCTCAACATTACGGACTGGAAGCACTTATTCTTCCAGAAACGGATACCCACCGCAGTAAATTGGATTTAGAAGGTGTAATATTGTTGGGTAATTGTCTGTGTTTCCATTTTATATTGAATAAAGACCGTTTTCTTCCAGAATTATTTTTTTTATTACGGATCTGGGCCAGTGCGTACCAACCTGCACCTATTGAAGCCGGCGTGAACTGCTAGGGTAGAAAATTCATTTATAGTGATCACCATCCGTCAGTAAAGTAGTCAAGTCTACAGTTGAACCCATTGATGTTGATAATATGTAGTAGGATCAGACAACTTTAATTTTTCTAACCACAGCACGACTAAGCTTCATCGAGAGGAACTTCAACGGAAACGAAGTGTATTTATCCAACAGAAAAAAACACTAGAATGTATAGATACTCATGAGATAGTAATATATTTTATCTGACTATAAATGCTTAGTCATACCTGATCTCATCGAATCGGCTCACTCGACTTCTCCACTTCGCTTCCATCTGCTTGTTGCTCCTGACTGACATGTCTGTCTGTAATAATGATTGCCTGAAAGAAACTATCTCAAACGAATCCGTATTTAGCTTCTAAGTACCTCTGTCGCACAACACAGGTACGCTCAACTATGATATATGGGAACTCAATGGGAGATTTATCTCATCACATGCTAGAACGTTCATGAATACATTCTGCTCAGCAGCTCTATTTGGAATTTGTTACAGTCACAAAGTAGTGAGCCTAACAACGAACATAAACTAGCCCGTAAAAGAATGTACTTAACTGGGCACAGCGTTTTTTCTTGATATAGTTACGTATGAATCACCTGAAAATATCTTATACGTAGAAGCGTTTTAGCTAGTTTTCATTGAATAAACGAAGGTTTGTGAGCTGAAGTTCAGACCAATTACACGAATTTCATTTATTCCATGGTGGATTCGTAGGTGGCTAATCCAAACATGAAATAAATATAATCAACCACGCTATAAATATGAGCTAAGGATTATTCACACTGCTTCAATAAGATAAAGGGAAAAGATTCAAGCACTTTAGTTGGTCATCATGGGTTAGATTGGAAAGTCACTTCCTACATTTTCAACATGCTTGAAAATGCTAGGGTGTTAAATAAGATATGGACCAACTTCTTGAGGTTTCGTAAAAAGTAATCTAAAACTGTGAACATTCACATTAAGGTAATCAGAGGTCCTAAGAAGCAATAATTATAAATGAAAAACTACATTTCTGAGCCAGGGATATGTTGAAAATCTTCAGGAAACATATTATTAGTCTTGATAACGGTAAGCAATATGAGGATTCTTCAGTTACACAACCCAACCATATTTATGAACACTGAACATAAAATGACCCTTATTAT